TACTGTAATTTCACAGATAATGACTTTTATTACAGTTCTATAACTTTTAACATTCACATTAAAATAATAACAATCCAATAATAACAGCACTCTGCTGTAAATGTAAGACTGATTATTGTATTATAGCAGAGTTCACCTGGATTTAAAGCTCATTGGTTTACACTGTAAATATCTTTATTTAAACATTAAAATAAAAAGTACACAAGGTTTTATGTCAAATAAAAGCTAAAAATGTAATTTAAATTTAAATTAAAGTTATTTTCTGTTATTACTGTATTTTAGGTTTTTGTCTGTCTGAGCTTTGAAACAGGATACAGTCTTCATATGAAGCCTTAATTCAAATACAGATTTGAGAAATTTGACCTCCAGTGAAACTCAATCAATTAAAATATTAACCGATTATCAGCTCAGAAACAAATAAATACATTTATTAAATATAAAATATCCTCTAAAGCCTTATGATCCATTCTGTATCTTTAGATAAAATGTGAACTTTTCCTCCCTGAATCAGTATTACATTTGATATTCTATAACAATAATTAAAGTATTAAAATTGTATTAAAACGTTAATATTTTGAATGGAGTTTGGTGTGAGTGGATCTAAAGCTGGTGTTTTCCCTCCTCAGGTGGTTAGGTGTGACCCCGGCAGGAGTCCCAGAGAAGCTGGGCTGTGCTAACCTCCCTCTCAGCCACAAGCAGCGGGACCTGTGCCGGAAGAAACCGTTCCTGCTGCCCAGCATCCAGGACGGCGCCCGGCTCGCCATCGCAGAGTGCCAGAGCCAGTTCAGACACGAGCGGTGGAACTGCTCCACCAGGGACGACCCCTCTGTGTTCGGATACGAGCTGACAAGCGGTGAGGACCTTGAACGCAACCTTTCTTCTTCCTCTCTCTCTTCAGTGGTTCAACAGAACTTAAACACACCAGAGAAACTGGTTTATTCTCAAGTTTGTCCTGATGGTGGCGCCAGAGAGTTCAACCTCTGTATGGTGGCCTTTTAGGACTTAGTTAGTATTGAATTACTCACACTGTTTAGGCTCAGCAGCTGAACCTAAATACAGCTGATCTGAAGTATTTAGTGTTTAAGTACAGAGTGGATTACTTAAGCTTAGTTAGGCCTGAGTCTTTAATTAAGTGAGTACTCAGCTACTCAGTTACTTACGTACTTACGGCCTATTAAGGACTCACTATTTAGTGAAGTAAGTTGTACTCAGACAACTTTCAGCTTTTTTATTAAACATACAGAAAACTTGAGTTTATTCCAGCAGGATGAAGAAAAACCACAAAGATCCAAATTGTTTGAAAAATGCTGAAAATCCAAAAGGAGTTTTGAATGGGAGATGGATTCTACAGTGTCAGAGACTGAGGACTGTTTGTCTCATGACTGCAGACGTTTCTTTTGTTCCTACTGAACTGAACTTTAATTCAATTACAGTCATTTTATAGGAACTTTAATTATATTTAATGCAGGAGAATTTCACTCACAAACATATTATATTTTAGTAAAAGTGACGTGTATGTTGAGGTCTAATGTAATTTACAGATAATAATGTACAGATATATTAAAGTGATATTGTATTTCTCAGTCACATTCTGTCCTAAATGAGCCGATCACATGTTTTATATCAGGATAATATATTAGAGGCATGTGAGGCGTTATTAATCTACCACTCACAGTCAGAACTGAACTGAAACACCACCAGAGTCTTCAAAGATCAGCTTTAAGACCATAATGTGTGGTTGAAAGCTCAGGAAGAGTAAGACTGGACTTGTCATACTGACACCATAAAGTCCATAAAGTCCCCCCCCCCCCTCTCTTGTCCAATAGGAACCAAAGAAACGGCGTTTATCTATGCAGTGATGACGGCAGGGCAGGTCCACGCCGTCACGCGCTCCTGCAGTCAGGGCAATATGACGGAGTGCGGCTGCGACGGGCGGCTGCAGGGCGGGTCGACGGCGGAGGGCTGGCAGTGGGGCGGCTGCTCAGACCACATCCAGTATGGGACCTGGTTCAGTCGCAAGTTCATCGACAACGCCCCCAAAAACACATCGACAGTCAGAGGAGGGTACACGGTGGTCACCATGAACCAGCACAATGGCGAGGTCGGACGGCAGGTGAGAACGTTACTGATACGATTGTAATGAAAGACTTACAAGACTTTATAGACAAAAACGCAAATTTTACCACATAGCATCGTAGCTTCATTTAAGGACAGAAACTAAATAAAACTAATCAAAACCGTCTTTGTTAGTCTTTCCAACAATCACCAACTCTGGTTTGGGTTTGGTAATAATCAAAATAAAGAAAATGTTATGTCTTCGCACTGTAAAGAAATAAAATAAAAGAGGCCCTAGAATAGATCCCTGAGGGACTCCAGTGATCTTCTTCTGTCCTTCATGTCTTCACTCAGTGTCGTCTCCTCTTCTCTGTCCTTCAGGCGATTCACAGGACGATGTCGACACA